TAAATTAGCAGCACTAACAAAATTTTAGGTGGAATTATATATATATACATATATATTTATTTTCTATATGATGCCTAGAATTGAAGACTTATTCATGTAGCTACCTACTTGGCAGCAAGGGGAGTAGTGACTCCCCTGCTCTAAGCCTCTGGTGGGGGACTTGTGGAGATGAACACCAGGGTAAAAGATAAGATCTCCATCCCACATCTAGGGGCTTAACAGGTCAGGACCCACAGCCAGGGGAAAGCCATCAGTCCTCTCCAAGTAGGTGTCTTAGAAATATCCAGGAGATAAAAAGCCTCCTCGTTAAAGGATTCATTTACTTGCCCTTACTACCACTCAAACTTTATAAAGGACAACAAAATTATTTCCACTAAGGTTGGCTTCATCTTCACTGAAGTGACTATGCCGAGAGTAACAGAGGCCTGGCAACCCTATATGAGAAGAAAACAGGATACAAGACAAGCAAAATCCAAGTGAGGATGGCATCTCTCTTGTCTGTGAACCCTCTCTCTCTTAATTGCTTTTCTTTTAGTAGGATGAGGGATAAAAGCAAGTGAGAACGGAAAAGTAACCTTCCATATCTTGCTTTCTTGCTACCCCTATATCCAGCATACCACCATTTGCCACTTGAGAAACTCAACAAGGCAGGGAAGGTGCAAAGCAGCAGTAGATTAGAAGGGAAAGAGCAAAGGAGGAAAAAGCAACAGCGGGGCTAGCAGAGGAGTCAGAAAGGTTAAGGGAGAGGTGACTATAAATAATAGGTGAGTATAAAAAAATATATATATATATATAAATAACAGGTGAGTATAAATATGTGAAGAATACATTTTGCAGCACTAGGTGTTATTTCTAGGGTTAGCCAAGTTCTGGAGACTCAGACTCTAAACCTCAAAGAAATGTCATTCTGACAGAAGTATAGAATCCCAGAATGTCACAAGCTGAAGGGGCCCTCAAAGACTACCCAGTCACACAGTTCTTAATTTTTTGTGGGTCACAAACCCATCTGAGACTATGGTGCAAGCTGCACATCTTCTCCCCAAGAGGAAAATAAAACATACCTCAGACTCATGCGCGATGAATTTCATACACAATTTCAGGGGTTTCACAGACACATCAAAGCTCATCCAGAGGTCCTTACCTAAGACCAGCTCCCTCAATTTTCAGATGGACAAACAGAACCAGAGAGGTAAGTCACTTGCTCAAGGGCACGTATTAAGTGTACTTCTGACTTCTCAGCCTACACTACACACCCTATCATCAAGTCAGGCTCCGCACCTCGGCTGTCCCTCCGCATTCCAGAGCTATGCCCCGGTACTCCGAGATGGGCTTCTGGATGCTCTGACAGAACTAACGCGGACCACACCCTGCTTCACAAATTAGGGTTTGTGGTCCATCTAATTTGGGGTCCCACACCACAGCTTTTAGCAGTCCTGGGTATCCTACAGCCTTTCGGTGGCAGACCTTAGCCACTGGAAGCATCTTTTTCATCTGGGTGGTGCAAGTACATTCTAAGTAGTAAGCCTGAGTTATCCACGTGTGTTCTCTAAGCCAGGGGTCCTTCTGTAATACAATTTCTCTTGGGTGTGCTCTTCTCCTTCCAACTGGCCAGTTCAAATCTCCTCTCTGTCCAAACAGAACTACACTATCCTCTATTAATTCAGTTCATTCTGTTTGCTCCCAAATTTATCCCCATCTTTTAATCCCTAACCCTTAAGGCTATCTCCACCTCTTGCAGGGGAGCACTAACATTTCCTTGCAATATCAAGATCTTTTCCTTTTAGTCCTTTATTTCCACTGTAGAGGTTTTAACACTTACTATTCACAATTCTGAGAATTGCTGGTATCTATAAAAATCCTATATAAATCCACTCCTTCACTCCCTAAATGTCACATCTAAAAACCTTCCTATACCTCTACCATCGTGCCAACATCCTCCACCATCCCTGACTTATTCTACTAATTAATCCTTTCCTCAGATCACACCAGGCCTTCCCGGGTGCATGTTTATCTCTTATTAACACACTTTACAGGGCAGAGATAAACCAACTTATCTTACAACTAACCAGAAGACTTAGGGATCTCTTGTTCTATGAAATTTTCATAATTCTGAACCAATTTCTCATTCTGTACCTATTAACAATTCTGTGGAGAAACTCTTTTCCTTGATTGCTGTTATCTCTTCATCCATCTATCTCCTCTATCATTTACTGCCTACTAAGTGCTAGGTGGTGACAAAGTCTTGCTTCCCTTGAAACTTACTGTGTTAGAATGCAGATAGACTCTAACACCAGTTTCTTATAACTCAGTCATTTCCAATACTATAACTTAAATTACCTTTCATTACCCTCATCAAAAATACCTTTCTCCCATTTAAAACTCCCCAATGTCTTCAATGATCTATCTGGTCAAGGGCTTTCCTGCCCTTCAGGTTCTTTTTTTTCTTTTTTTAAGATTTTATTTATTTGACAGAGAAACAGCAAGAGAGGGAACACAAGCAGGGGGAGTGGGAGAGGGAGAAGCAGGCTTCCCGCCGAGCAGCGAGTCCTGTGTGGGGCTTGATCCCAGGACCCTGGGATCACGCCCTGAGCCGAAAGCAGATGCTTAACGACTGAGCCACCCAGACGCCCCTGGCCTTCAGGTTCTAATGCTTTCTTTAGTTTCTATTGGCTTCAGCTTGCTCTTATCAAAATAATCTTGCATGTTACTTAATCTGACCTAACATCATAGATCCTAACATCAATCATAGAGCTTTTATGTCTACCTAGGATAGCCTCTCTTGCCTAAAGAAGTGCCACACCACATCTACCAAACTGTTTAAATAAAGAACACACAAAGAATTCTAGTGCCAAAAGGGTCTAGGAATCATCCAGTCCAACCCTTCAACTTCTAGATAAGGAAAAGTGAGGCCCAGAGTGGTAAGCTGGCTTGTCCAAACATACAATATCAGAAAGTCTGAGTGCTGAAGCAAGGATACAGGTCTTAAACTCCAGTGCAGACCAATTTTATTTTACTATGTCAATTCGCCTTACTGAAACCTCGTTTCTCCTTTTTCTCTTATGCTCTGCCTTAGTATATTCTTCACTTAAGTGTATATCTGCAGGCATACATTCATTTAAACAAACACACACAATGGGTGCCTGGTTGGCTCAATCGGTAGAGCATACAGCTCTTGATCTCAGGGTTCTGAGCCCCATACTAGGTGTAGATTAATTTAAAATAAAATCTTAAAAAAAAAATAAACACACACATACAAGTCTATATTCCTTACCCTAAGAGAACATAAGAATCACAGCACTGCAAATTTTAAAAGGAGGAAAGGACCCTCAGGGATTACCTAAACCAGTAACTGTCAGCAGTTAAAAATTACAAGCACAGATTTTTCGATCTACAGGACTACACAATACATAGCTTTCCACATCCCACCGCTTCTCTCTCCCAGAAAATCATGGCTTAAACAGCCATTATTTTATTTTTCAGTTGTGCTGAGAGTATGGGAAAGAGGATTAAGAACCAGTGACCTAATCCAATGCACTCATTTGCCAGGTGAGAAATCTCAAGTCCAGAGAGTCCAAAGGAATTTGCCGAAAGTGCCAGCAAGTTAATAACAGGTTTAAGACAAAAAAACCAAGATCTCCCATTCTTCACGCAGGTGTGTTTTTCACACTGCTGGTCTAGATTTATAAAACAAAGCCGTCAGGACAGAGCTTCCCCCTGCACAAGAACCCTCCTAAGTACCCAGTTGCCCTTGGCCAGTTTGGTGCCTGGAAAAACATGGTAGAGACATCTCTTATCAGTCAACTCCTGGCTATCCAGGAGGCAGGAAGACAAGCTTTTCAGGTCTGTCTCTAAGGAAAGACCCCTTTTAAAGGGAGTTGAGAACCTGATCTTCAGAACTAGGAGAAGCATAAGAGGCAACTAACACTTTCATTTTACAGATAAGCAAACCGCGCTACAGAGAGGGTAATGGACCTGGGCAAGGTCACACAGGGAGTCGGTGGCGAAGTAAGACTAGAACTTGAGGCTCCTGAACCCAGGGTTGGCAGCCTCTCAAAGATGTATTCATTGCGTCTTGCTCAGAGACATCTCCTCAGTACGCTGACTGCCGGTCTCCCTTAACGTACTGGCTTAAACACTGACAACGTTAAAAAATCGTAGAATTCGTGAAGCCCGGGGTGGGATGGTGTCCCATAAATTGACCAGGCCAACCCCCCACCCCGCCTCCCATTCTGAGGCAATCAAGACTCAGAGAGCGTTCTTTATGCTAGAATCTTCGGCCAGCTCTGGACAAGGTAAGCAAACCCCGCAACCGGGGCCTACAAGGCCAAGACCCACAAACTCAATCCCGGCTCTCCCGGGAGCTCTAGGCCTGAAGGGAGCCCGAGACCGAGAGCCCAGGCTGTCGGGAGCCCGGGAGCCCCGGAGCCCCCATCCGGCCGCCTCCACCCCGCCGCCCACACCCCCGGCTCTGCGGCCCGCCGCCGGTCCCCGGGTCCACTCGGCCGCCGCCTCACCTACGCCGGCCCTCCGTCTGTTATTGTGGTTGAGAGGGAGGGAGAAGCGCGACCGACACTTCCCGCGGCCCCCACCGCCGCGGCGCTTCCGCTTCCGCCGCCGCTCGGGCATTTCCGGAGGGTTGCCTTCCGGGGCTGGGCTCGTTCTTCGTGTCCATGTTGGGTGTGGGACGCAGGCGTCGAGTCACGGCAGCCATGTTGAGCGTGGCAGTTCGTGAGGCGCTGGAGCCGGTCCATCTTTCCGTGACGGCATTGCCCCGCCGGAAGTGCCTAGAGTCTGGGACGGGGGAGGCAGTTGCTTTTCTGTGGTTCGCAACTCAGTTCGCTGGTGTTCGGCGGCTTTGGGTAAGCTTTTGGACCTTGCGTTTGGCATTTGCAAAACGACTGCGTTCCAGTAGGGATTTTTCCAGAATTCGTTTAGCTAAAAAAAGAAATTTTTTTTTTTTTTTTTTTTTTTTAGGCGAAGGGTCGCGGGAGACAGTTTGAAGATGTTAATGTTAAATCAGCCCTTCTCTATTTTGGGGACGTTGTTTCTGCACATAATTAGCAGCATTTTATAGGTTTCAAAAGGCTCTCACATGAATATCTCATTAAGAACTCCCTACCACTGTGACATATGGGCAGGAATCATTCGTTTTTTTTTCTCTTTGTTTAATGGATAAAAATTTATCTTCAGAGAGGTTAATTTACTCAATGTCACACAGGTGGACTGAAACGCAAAATTTTACCCTCCACATCCCACGTTCTTGCCGCTGCATACATGTAAGTAAAAAGGACTAAAATGCATAAATTAAAACATACGAATAACCTTTAGGAAAGTTAGTGTGCATGAGACCCAATTTGACAAGACACAGGGCCAACTAGACGGTTCTGCCGTAGAAAGAACTGAAGATGGACTTTGGAAGGGGGGCGCGGTCCTTCCTAGTCCTTTCTTGATGCCAAACCTGGCTTTTCCTCTTTCCCTGTTATGGTTTGGCATCATGGGTTTCAGCTTATCATGGCAGTCACAGTTCTAGCTATGCAATTCCAGGTGTCAAACCATGTGTCTTGGTTTAGGGCTCTGGGAAGAAAAAGCAACAAAGCCTCATATATCTGTTCATCTTAATCCCCACTTTCATATTACATTATTCCTGTAAGTGAAAATAAAGTCCTGTTGCCATGTTAGTTGCTTCCATCGATTTCTTTCATATTTGAACTTAAATAAACAGTAAAACAAGCCTTGGCTTTTTCTGTTTTCTTTATTGTTTAAAAAAACAAATAGGAATTATCTATGAAAGTGTCTAGCCCTGAGCCTGGCATAGATATAAGTGATTCAGTAAAGTTTATTTCAGTGCAAATGGGTTGAATCTTTATTTGAATATATTATTGAATGTGGTTGGCATTACTCCTTCAGTAAAAAGTACTATGGTGGGACCAGAAATACTCACAAATAAGATATGTTTCCTACTTCAAATTTAGAAAGGGAAACAAAAGCTTATCTACAAATACTGTAATAAATGCTGAATAGAGATGTTTTCTGAGTGCTATGAGTGCCTGCTGTCTATAAGTAGACTTAAAAACTAGTTTTAACATTCTTCTAAGATTTTATTTATTCATTTGTGGGGGGCGGGGAGCAGAGGGAGAGGAACAAGCAGACTCCCTGCTTAGCACAGAGCCAGATGCGGGGCTCGATCCCATGACCCTGAGATCATGACCTGAGCCAAAATCGAGAGTTGGACACTTAACCGACTGAGCCACCCAAGTGCCCCGGTTTTAGCATTTTAAGGTAGAAAGTGTGCATCCCTTTACCTCCAAGATTTTTTTGTTCCTTGGTGATTGGGTTTTTATTAGAATGCTGAGCTGGTGTTGCCTGCTCTCATACAGTAGCATCATCAGGGAAGCTCTTCCCTCTACAGCGAAATCTGCCCTGTACTAAATGGCCCTGAACCACTGTGGGTTTTTGTTTTTTTTTTTAATTCTTACTCCCTGCTTTTTAATTCATTTTTTAAAGATTTTATTTTTATTTCATTCATGAGAGACAGAGAGAGAGGCAGAAGGAGAAGCAGGCTCCCCCGAGGAACAGGGAGCCTGACGCAGGACTGGATCCCAGGACCTGGGCGCTTAACTGAGTGAGCCACCCAGCCGCCTCTTAATTAAAATTTTAAATACCTCTTCTCATACTCCTATAGATTCTAGCACCAACCTCTCTTCTCCCTTGAAATGTCTTAGACCCTTAAATGAGGGCTGAACATTTGTTGGAAGGTCTTAACACTTAAGAGAATAAGCTCTGGTTGAGGATAGGGGACAGGGTTTGTTTAGGTCCCCTTCTTATGGCTAGGAGGGCTGTGTAATGCACAACTGCAGGAGGTACCATGCACATTGGGGTCTTCCACATTACACTTGGAGTCGAGTAATATGGCAGAACTCAGCTATGAATTAAATACAGGATTTTTTGAGAAGTAAATCCTTTTATAGCTGTTTCAGCTGAGAAACTGTGTATTCAGTGGTCAGCAATGCAGGCTTTACAATTTTAGAAGTTTAGAAAGATCTGCTTCAAGTGTGGGTTCCTCTGCTTACTGGCAGAGACCATGAGCAAGCATTCCAATTCTCAGCTTCAGGTTTGCCAAGTAAAAATGGACATCATTATGGTACCTACATAATAAACCACAGCAGAATTTAGTGGTTAAACACAATTTGTTAGGACCTGTCATGATTCTGTGGGTTGACTGGACTTGGCTGGGTGGTTCGAGCTTGGGGTCTCTTAAACATTTGCAGTCAGATGTCAGCTGAAACTATAGTTAACTTCAGGCTCAAATGAATGTCACATTATTGGCAATTCAGGCTGGAAGCTCTCTAGGGGCTCAGCTAGAGCTATCCAACAGAGTGCCTGCACATGGCCTCTTTCTCTGGTTTGGGTTTCTCATAACAAAGTGTTTGCTTAGGGGGCTCTCAGAGACCATAAATGCAGGGAGTGAGCTGTTCCAAGCAGTAAAGGACTTCTTACGATCTAGCCTTGGATCCCAGACGTTACTTCTGTCACAGTCTATTGGTCAAGAAGACACTAAGCCAGCCTAAATTCAAGGGGAAAAGAATAAGACTCCACCTCTTAATCGAAAGGGTAGCAAAGAATTTGTGGCCATCTTTAATTTACCACACTGCCTCATTTATTTGTTTTTAATTTATTTGGACATACATACATTTTATTAGCACAGGTAACAAAAAGAAAGCCTGGTAACCCCACCAGTACAAATAGTTTTGAGTCTGCACATGAATCATTCTTTACATGCTTTTTAATTGTGTAAAAATATACATAACATAAAATTTACCATCTTAAACATTTTTAAGTGTGGACTTCAGTGGCATTAAGTATATTTACATTGCCATGCAACAATTACTACCAGCCACCGCCAGAACTTTTTTTTTTCTCTTCCCAAATTGAAACTCTATTATCTGTTAAACAACTCCCATCCCTGCCCACCCCCCAGCCCCTGGCAACTATTGCACTTTTTGTCTCTAGATACAAATCATATTATTTTTTGTCCTTTTGTGTTTGGCCACTTTCACTTAGCATAATGTCTTCAAGGTTCATCCCTGTTGTGTCATGTGTCAGAATTTCCTTCCTTTTTAAGGTTGAATAATACTCCATTGTATGTATATACCACATTTTGTTTGTCCATTCATCCATCGATGGACATTTGGGTTGTTTCTACCTCTTGGCTATTGTAAATAATGCTTCAGTTACCATGAGTATGCAAATATCTCTTCTAGATCCACCCTTCCATTCTTTCACATATATATCCAAAAGTGAATTGCTGGATCATATGGTAATTTTATTTTTAATTTTTCCATTCGGCTGCACCATTTCACATTCTCACCAGTAGAGCAGAAGGATTCCAATTTCTCCACATCTTTGCTCTCTTCTGTTTTTTTGTGAGGAAATATTTGTAACCCACTTAGAACAGTGCCTGGCATGCGTCAAAAACTCCACAAAGCTTAGCTGTTATTATTTGACTGTCCAGAGCCCTCTTTTCTTTCCTTCTTATCGCCTGTAGTTGAAGTTGCAAGGGCTGAACTCTTAGCATGTGGTATTGCTGAAGTTCATTTTCAAAGCATTTTACACTTTCCCAAGTTACATAAGGAAATGCTAAGAAAGGATATTGTACATAGGTATATGCATAGAGAATTGCAGTTTCAAAACCAAACACAAGGTGGTAGATTAGGAAAAAAAACAAAACAAAAATATAACAACAATTAAAAAAACAAAACAAGAGAGAATGAAGGAAGGTAGGAAGAGAAAGAGAAACAGGGAAAAGGAAAAACCTGCATGGGAGGCTTTTGTAAGCCTGAGCTCTGAGTAAAGCATTAAGCAACAAGGCCTTTGCTTTTTATTTTTATTTTGGGCCAAACTGCACCAGATCAAAGTTATGTCACAGGAAAGTGAAAAGATTGAGGATGAAACTTAAGAAACTAACAAGCTTTAGGGGCGCCTGGGTGGCTAAGTTGTTGAGCGTCTGCCTTTGGCTCAGATCATGATCCCCCCTGCATCGGGCTCCCTGCTCAGTGGGAGGCCTGCTTCTCCCTCTCCCCCTGCTTGTGTTCCCTCTCTCGCTGTCTCTCTCTTTGTCAAATAAAAAAATAAAATCTCTAAAAAAAAAAAGAAAAAACTGACAAGCTTTCTTTTTACAATTACTCGTGTTGTGTTTTCCCTGTCACTGCCCCTAGGGCAGATCTTTTAGCCTGATCTCTAGAGATATGAGAGCACAGAGTTACTCTTTAGAAAATTGTTTGAAATGTCAAGAACTGTTTATGCTCAGTCGACATTTATTAAAAAGATTTCATGGAGCCTGGGAATATATTAGACACTAGGGCTGCAAAGATGACCAGGAACCAGTCTCTGCTCCTAGGCAGGCTGGGAGACATGTTCTGAACAAAGAACACTTCAGGAGAATGCCAGGATGCCCTGCAGCACAGCAGGCACCCAGTGAGTCCAAGCTGTTTGCAGCTACACTTGAAATAACTGCCGAGCACCCTCTTTAACTCACTTTTCCTCCCACTATGGGCTTCTGTGTCACTGCTTCTTAATTGTGTCCCTGTCTCCTCAATCATCCTGGCTCTAGCCTCTCCCCTGCAAAGTCTTACTTTGATTGTGTTTTGGTTTTGCATTCTTTTAATCACAATGTCACTCTACCGCTCATTTAAATACATCATCACATTTAATCCGATGAATTCTGTGACCTAAGTACCGCTTGCCCGGTTTTATAAACAATGCAACTCAGGTTCGGAGTGGTTAAGTTTTTTGCTAAAGTTCACACAGCTAGTAAATTGCAGAGAATCATTATGAAATCTGAGCTATCTAACTTCAAAACCCGTATTCCTCATGACTAAATGGTACACTCTTGTAATCTTTTCCTCCAAATAAAAATCTGATTAATCTTCCTAAAGCATACTGTGCATTATAATGGCTTCTTTGTGATTGAAGTTTTAACCTTCATGTATGTATACATTTGTAATTTGTCAATCAGATATCCAAGGCCCAATACACATTGGTTGTGGCCTACCATTTCAATCTCGTTTCCCATCACAGTGTGTTCCAGCTGCACACGGGAGTCACTGTTTGCCCTTGCCTACCCTGTGGCTCCCCCTCATGTTAGCCGAGTGAGCAAGTTACCTCCCTCTAAGTAGAAGGTGAATCAGTGTCTTTCAGCTATTACAAGGAAAGAAATGGAAGATGGGCCCCTAGGTGAACCCAGTACTGCAACAGAAACTGATGGTCCTTAAATTCC